CTGGGACCTTCCCATGAGATGGTGATACTTAAGGACTTTAAGAAGTCACAGTATACACCATTGAAGGCTGTCCAGTGTGCAGTTGATTCACATTAAAGGGTTGTGGTAATTGCTGTACTTTAGATGAAAATACATAAAATGGGTTGCAGAGGATTGCATTGTTTCTCAGAGTTTCCCTGGCCCTAGGAGCATTTGCTGATGTCTGGACATTTACACAGTGACAATTCAGGTGTGGTAGACAGAGGGGCACTGCATAGTATTGACATACAGCAGTAAAGTCCCAAGTCACTTAATCATTCTACAATGTATAGCCTCTCATCACAAAGACATATCCAGCCCCAGATGCCAACATTGTGACCAGTGAAAGGAACACATCTTACTTATTTAAGTTAGAACTTGAACTTCCTTAAACAATGATGTCTTCCAGAGAAGTTCTTATTTTCCTAAGAATTCTTCCCAGTTTTTTTTTTTCATGATAACATTCCATTTGCCAGCATGACTCCCTTGATAGCAGATACTCAAAAGTGTCAGGAACAAACTAATCACTACCACATTTCTCAGACAGTGAATATTGGGTAATTATTGTCTCCAATTTTATGACAACTTTGTGTGTAATTGTCAATAATTGCATTAATCCGACCACATGATACTAACTACTGTTGGAGCAGATAAAACATTGTTATAATTTTTCTTGTACATTTTTAGCATGTAATTGACACTCTACAATGCATTTATTATCCATTAAAAACTCAAAATTTCTTTATGAGTCCTTGGTCACCAGATAGAGTTGAGTCTCTTTCAGGCTCCTTGTGTGTCTCTCGCTTTCTTAATTTTACAGCACCTTGATGACATGTGCATTCCTCGAACTGGAATATGAGATCTTAAGGTTAGCCTTAATACCTTCATCTTTCAGCCTTCAGAATCAGTACCAAGCACATAGTGCATAATGAGTATTTGTTGTCTAGTGGATGGAATAAGAGTGTTCTTTGTAAAGTGGTTTGTAATATTTGGTAACTGGCTTTGTGAATGCTTCACTGATTTCTCAGTCTCTTCTTACAGATCATAAAGTCCTGAGATGACTCCAGTAGTTGAAATGAGCACAGCAAACCTCATGGGGTCTGTGGTACTTGAAAATCTCCTGTTTCTTTATTTCCATCAGGTCCTTCTGGGGAAAAGTCCTATCATCTGTTATAAGAATGGAGGGAATACATTCTGAGAGGAACTATGTTGGGTCAACTATTAAAATTTGTTCAGGTCAAATTTGCCTCTTACTCTTTTCCCCGGAGAGGTTTATGAACACCAGTTATTAGCTGGAGATAGGTTAGATATCAGTAGGAGGGAGAGTGTGTGCTGTTCAGAACCCATTTCTTGAACTGGGTACTGGTCTATCTGAAAATGCCTCCTTTCTTGGCCCTGTCTCTACCCTCTGAGCTGGTAGCCTCTTTGTCAACTGATGCCAGGATGTAGAGTGGGAATGAGCAGAAGGAGCCTGGCTATAGGCCGTAGTTTGATGGAATATTTGAATAATTGTGCAGTTTCAATGGAATCAGTGTTCCCTCCATTAGATAAAAGTGGAGAATAATGGGTTAAATTAGAATGGGTTAAACTAGAAATAAAGGCAGCTAGATAAAAAAAATGTGTAGTACTCTAAGCTATTTTCTGATAAAATTTAACTTTTATAATGATGCTGAGAAGTAAATATTTCTACTTTCAGCCTATAGATTTTATTTGACTCAGATCTCCCTCCCTCCCCTTCCCTGCTTTCCTTCTTTCTTTCCTTTCTTTATACAAATCCATGTATGTACAAATTTGTCTGTGTGCATATATGTGTGGACTTGTATGTAGAGGCCAGAAGTTGACATTGGGCATCTTCTTCTACTTCAGTCCACCTTAGTTTTCAGGACAAAGTTTTCCTCTGAATCTAGAGTTCACCAATTGGCTGTATTGGCTGTGCAGCAAGCTCTGGATATACTTGTCTCTTTCCCCTTCCCTAGCACCAAAGTTTACAGCTATGCCAACTTTTTAAGTGGGTCCCAGAGGATCCAAATACAGTTCCTCATGCTTGTGTGGCTCTCCCCTTACTGATTGGACCATCTCTCCAGTCTGTTTTTGCATTACTTTTCACTAACCTCCCTCTCTCCCATCTTAAATTTTGGTTATTAGAGTACATGAACTATAGGGTTAAGGCTTCCTCATTTTGTTCTGGGGGAAAACCAACTCATGAATTGGATTTTAGAAATGAGTGTATTATTGTTTCCCAGCAGAATTTGCTGATGGGATTTTTGAAAATAGACTGTTCACTTACTGCTTCTTTATGTATCATATTTTGTGTTAGATACTGAGATTACAAAGATGAGTGGTCTATAATTTCTGTGCTTGAGGAGCCCACAGTAACTGTTTGCTTCTGATTGTTCTAAATGGGAAGGGATGAGCAAGTGCTAAAGGAAAAAGTATAAATAACGAAAGTTTCGTGGTCACATTGTGACTTTTTAAAAGAAAGTCTTTTACTCTTTTTTGTCCTGTTGCAACAAACAAAATGAGCTTGTAAAAATTTTTAAAAATAAAGATAAAAATTAAAGAAAAGGGTTTCCCAACTAGTTGGATCAATTTTCTGTTTATCTACCTTTTGGTTATTTGGATAAATAAGAAATGTGATTTATACACACACACACACACACACGTACACACATACACATACCCCAAAACCAACCACACTCAGCCCATAGTCTGTTTGCTTATCTGAAAATACACTTAAATGTACTATCAATGTCTTAACACCATTTTTGTGGTTGATAAGCATTTCATTGCACAAAGGTAGTCAAATGTATTGAATTAATCCTGTTGCTATATAATAAGGCAAGTGTGTACTATGGGTGTGTATGGTGTATGTTTATGTATGTGTGTGCGCACGCGTGTGCGTGCGCACGCGGGAACGCGTGTACAACCTCATAAAAGGCAGAAGATGATGTTGGGAATCTGACTCTATCAATATTCTTTTCCCTGACTGAACCTGGAGTAGGGCTGGCAGGCTGGGTTTTAATACAATTCCACTGATCTGAACTCAGTTTCTAATGACTGCATAACAACTGCTCATGCCCACTGAATGACCTCTTAAGTAACTTTTAACATTTTATAACTTTAGTCACACAGAGACCTTTGTAGGTAACTTACTCTGTGTATATCCTGCATTATTTCCATAGAGGGACTTGCTAGTTATATAAGTACTGGGCATGAAGAATTGCATGTTTCTTTTGTTTTTATATTTTATGTTAAATTATCCTCAAGAAAACAGGAGTATGTTTGCCTGTCATCATTGATTTGAGTTTCCATTTTTGTTCAACTTCTCCAGCATTTGGTACTTTGTATTTCTTTAAAATGATGTTTTCCAATTTGAAAACTGGCAAACCTGACGTTATAAAGACTGTTTTTTGGAAAGTCTTGACATTATCATTTCCCTGTCATTGTTTCCTGGCAGACTTCTATCATTTTGTTATAGTTGATTGCTTAGCTCCTTATCTTCCTTGCAGCTCCAGAATTTCCTGAGGGTCAAGTATAGCCTATCCACTTAGGTGTTTCCAAAGGCTCATGATTGTTTGTTGAATTAAATGGAATTTAGAGAACAAGTTGCCTAGCAACTGTTGGCCAGATGTATAATTTTCAACTACCAATAGGAATGCCTGTTATTTCTGTCAGTTGCATAACAATGAGGCAATTTGCTGAGTACTGATTATTTGCCAGGACATATTTAGTGGTCTGTATCCTTAACACATACTTCACATACTCAACACTTTCAACAAGGTCTTGACCTAAGGAATAACCAGTTTCCAAGCCATCTTTCTCTTTGTCTTTTTATCTCTTCTACCCTTTCATATTCTCCTCCCTTTTTAACATGTCCAAATTAGAAAAGACTGGCATAATAAACCTTGAACCATTTAGCATTCAGTTTCAAGAGCTATTAACATGTGATGAGTTTTACTTCATCTTTGCCTTTATTTCCTCATCTTGTACCTCATTCCCATAATGCTATTTTAAAATAAGACTCAAGACAGGTGTAGCTCAATGGTATAGCACTTGCCTGGCAATCCAAAGAACATGAGTTTGATTGTCAATATCACAAGATAATAGTGATTATGATAATAAAATGAATTTTAAGTACCTTCTTTAATTAATGACTATTTAAATATATTTATGATACACAAATACTTATATAAAGCACAAAGTAATTATTGTATTTTGAAATGTTTGCAGAAATTCTCTAGTAGAATCTAATATGTAGTCAGTGCTAATTTCCTTGGTGGTCTCATATAGGAATTCTCATTCTTGAATCAAGATGAACACAAGTATAACTTACTGTTTTCTCAGCCATTCCAACAACATATTTCTTTTTCCCATGAAAATATAAGGTCCCTCTTAGAGATTATTAAATTGAGGGACCTAAAATTCTTAAATAATCATTACTGGGGTATGTGTTGATGGCAGAGGCTTGTCTAGTATGTATGGAACCTGGGTTTAATACAATAATAAAAAAAATCCTCATGGATTGAATATTTATTTGACCACTTCACCAATGGAAGTACACTTGGAAATCAGCCTCTGAGAAACATCAGAGCATGTGGCTGTGGGGAATGAAGTAGTTCCTTTGCCATTGGGCACTCAAGACTTATTCTCTTTGCAGCTTCATCCATGTGTTTATCTGGTGACAGGGCTCCCATCCCTCTATTCTCTGTTTTTGTGACGAGCCTCCACGTGGGCTGTGGCCAAGTCTCCTCCCTAAAGATGTGTAGTTACTGGAAGTGGTACTGATTTGAAAAGTCTATCTTCACACTGAGGTGAACACATTAAGACCTGCTGCTCCCTGGTCCCCCTCTTGACTGGGAGAGGATAGGGTACAATGGAAATCATGGGCTTGCTGTTTTCCATAGTGGGTAATGACATCTAGAGGATACTTTGTATTAAGTGAATCTTCAAATTTACTTTATGGTTCTGTTTCTGATTTGAAGGTCTTGCAGCTGTTCATTGCGTGGTGGCAGATGGGAACACAACCAGAACACCTGGAACCAATAGCTCTCTCTGTGGAGTATCTGGGGGAAACTGCACAGGTAATGGTTATGCTTCATAGTTAATCCAGGAAAGCTACATCCCCTAGGCTTAGTCTTTTTCTAAAAATAATATTTACCACACTAGGTGGGTCTTTGTGCATATAGTAGTATACTAGGTACTGTATTAAATAATTTGCATGCAGTAATTTATTCATTACTTGTAAGAGTTTTCTAAGTGAGATAAAATTTTAAGAACAATATACTGTATTTTATTTATTTAAATAATACTATAAGAATGATTTGATGTAGCTTTAAACAGAAAAGATGGGAAAATGTCTGGGCACAAAACTCCCCTATGGTTACCTCTCTGAAGGTCACAAGCCTGCAACTTGCAACTCTGTCTCCCCAGTTTTAGTGCCTCTGTGCTTAGCCACCATATACTGAGAGTCTTAGTAATTTTTATGGTTACTTTGATAAAAGCAGCTCCAGGAATGAAGGATTTACGTTGGCTCACAGTTTGAGGGTCCAATGTAGCATGGCTATGGCTGTGGTCCTGGGAGTCGAGGCAGCTGGTCACATCATATACAGTCAGGAAGCACTGAGGAGTGAATGCTGAAACCCTCTAGTTTTTCTTTATGTTTGAACAAGCAGGCACAGTAGCTTGACCAAAGCTGCTGTTCATATTGAGGATGCATCTTCCCACCTCAGTTAAATCTCCGTGAAAGCATCTCCATACATATGCCCAGAGGTGTGTCTCCTAGGTGATTCTGAGGAAATCAATCATATGTTGTTTAGGTATGTTCAGGCTGAAATGATCAAGCCCACAGTCTCTTTATTGATGTTCTGTCTTGGTGCATCCATTGTAAAAGTGAGATATCGAGCCTTTCTAATATTACAGTTGTTTCTATCTCTGTGGCAGTTGGACCAACCTAAATTTATTTCCTTGCTTAAAGTTCTCAACAATGACTGTAGAATGTTCTAGGAGTCAACATCAGGAAGTATTGGCCAGAGAATCTTCCAGTCTTTTCCTACCCTTCTTGGAATGTCATCTGTTTGAGCCTGTTGCTTCTCATTTATCAATGGCAAAGACTCAGGCAGGCTTCTCCTCATCACTCTTAAACCGCAGTGCTACATGGCATATATATAGGTTAGAGTCCATTCTTCATATGCAGTTTTCCTGAGCCCCAAACAATACTTCTGCCACTAATCTCAGCCATTTGCAATCTCCTGTTGCCTGTCTGTGAGTAGCAAAGATGTTTCACGAATTGAGTGTCCTATCTGTTGGACATAGTATATGGTGAGCATCATATTCTCCTTTTGGTTCTGCCAACATTTGCTTAATATTTTTATGTGTTTTATATTGGGTGCATGCATATTTATAGTTGGGGACTGAAAACCTTATGGAATAATAATACTTATCTTTTTAAAAAATAATACTTTCCTTTGATATTTGGTGTTTGCTAGCAGATTTGAGCTAAAGCTTCTTAGGTCTAAGCTATGAATGACCACCACTGATGTGCTTTTTCTAACATTGATGTGGGTGTCTGAATCCCTTCAAACTCAGGAAATGCATTTCCATAAATCTAAATTGTCTGCTATAGACTTATGCCTTATGATTTTTTTCTCTCTTGCTGTCTGCCTTTATGGTTTGTTGATTATTTTTTCACTAGTATATTTTGATTCTCCCTCTCCATGAATATCTTTTTCTGTAATTGGCATGGGACTTGCATAAAAATAATTAGATAATAAAACAAATTAATAGAATAATAATTAAATAAAATAATAATTATTTAAAGTTGGTAGCAACTAAGTTTCAATCACAAACAAATCTATTTTATTAACTACATTTTATACATATAGAAGTCATCTAGAATTGAGATCAACATCAACAATTATATCTATTAAACTTGTGAAACATACAAAGTACTGTTGTACTTTACATACATTAATTGATTTAATAATAAATTATATCTACTTTCATAAGAAGCTGCTGAGGAACAGAGAAGCCAAGTCCTTTGTTTAAGCTCACACAGTGAGCACAGTAATCTGACATAATGTGATACTGTTGATAGGATGCATACTATTAACTACTTGAAAGTCATGGAGACATCCAAATGAAGACTGATGTGAGGGAATACTTAGAAGATAAACTGCCTGAAAGCAAAGTCCAGGTGTTGTCCAGATGGCTCTTGAAAGAGTAATTAATATCAAGAATAGACCTTTAATGACTGGCTCTTGCCACTGGCAAGTTACAAAGCTTTTAGAACCCAAGTCGAGAGCCAGTTGCACAAAGAAAGGTTAGATGATATGGAAACAAATTTTCTGTATATAAATAATTCTTTTGTTTTTTTACTTTTAATAAATTTTGTATCTAAGAATTACATTTTCAGTTTGTCATTTCCTGGTGAATAAGGAATGCATCATTCACTCATACTTCTAGCATCTAGGACACAATGAGCCTTCTTTGTGATGCCAGGAATAAACAATGAACAAAAGGGGAAAAGACAAGGTCAAGAAAGCAGCAGAGTGACTTGTAGTACTCCTCAGGTCAACCGGTCCATCTTTGTGAGTATGTCTCTGGCTTCTGCGTTGAAGATTAGATAGCTGAGATGTCACATAGGAAGGTAGAAGAGCTTGAGATGTCACAAAGAAGGAGACATCTTCCAGCCTAGAGCTGAGGTAGGCCTCAAGCCCAATGGAGGACATGCTGAGGTGATTTTGCATATGTTTTAAAGACATCCAATGGGATTTGCTGATGAAATAGACATAAGAGTCAAAGAAGTCCAAATGATGCTGAGATATTTGATCTAAATAAATAGTCAGAACTGATACAATTTACCAAGGTAAAGGAAAAAACATGTTTAAGAAAAAAAATGAAGTATTACCATTTATAACTTAAGTTGAAAAGCATGTTTAGATATCCAACTGTGTGGTTAGTTGGACAATTCATATTATGTGAAGACATGTCAGATGGTACAACTACCTGGGAACTGTTACAATGAAAATAGGACCTCATGGACTCACAAATAGAGTGAGTGTAGAGAAAGGAGACTGTTCTGGACCCTGAGTGGCTGATAAGCCTTAGAAGCCAAGGGAGATGAGAAAGAGCCTGCATAGGAGGCCAGGAGGCTGAGCAAGGAAACTCTGATTTCATTCAGAAAGTTTTAGCCTGTTTGCTTGAAAACCGAAAGAAAACACAAGCTTTCTTCTTGACCACCGGTCATTTGCTCCAGCCATGAAGAATTTTGAATGTAGACAAACATAGCACACTTCTATATTCCTGGTATTTAGCTTTCTTTCATAACAAAAAAAATACTCAAGAAAATCAACTGATTGCAGAAAAGGTTTGTTTTGGCTCAGAGTCTTGGCAGTCCCACTGTGTGGACACTTGGCCTTGTTTCTTTGGTACCTGTAGTGAGGTAGCAATTCATGGTGGGCATGTGTGTCGGAGGCAGTTAGTTCATGACACTTGGGAAATCAAGAGAGCAAGAAACCAACATTCTACAGTTTCCTTTCTAGGCACACCCTGAGTGAGTCAAGCTCTCCCACTACACCTATCTTTCTAGAGGTCCTAAAACTGCCAATAGGGTTGTGGGCAGGTGACCAAGCCTTTAACATGTGAGCTTTTGATCATACTTGTCCAAACTGTAGCAAAAATTGATTGATAATTTTTCCCTTTAGTAAAATAAAGTAGGTCAGCTCTCTGTTGTAGATCTTACTTCTATAATGGCCAGCCTGGCCAACTTGGTCAAAATACAGTTTAACCTGCTTTTAACACCATCCCATGATTCCTACCTCTATCAACCATAGATCCCAACTGCTCAGGAAGAGGGCACCCTCTTCATCTACTTTCTTATAGAAGAAGCCATTTAGCTATAAGACACATGGAGATTACCCAAATTTCAACTTTTTCATTGCTTCAAGGACATTGTGAATTCTCCATGCTCCTGATTCAAGGAGACAGCTGGTAAGATAAGAATGGAAATTAACTTTAAAAATATAAAACTGTCTTCTTCAGATTTTGGCACAAGAAAATTGTAAGATGAGGAAATCTCTACTGGGATGAACCCCCAGAAGATTAGAAGTAGATTGTTAAAGTCTTTAATGACACTTCACAGGCTAGAAGGAAGCCATTCCCCAGGCTCTGCAGGGCCTCGTGTAGCTTTTTATGGACATGCTTCTTCATTTTAGAGGTCAGATATATGTATGGGAAGATGAATTTGTAGTGATTTGCCTTCCTTCCCCCTTCTCTTTCTTTATCCCTATAAAGAAGTTTCTATTTCAATGTTTAGCACTCTTCTGTAGTTTGTTCTGTTATATATGTAACTAAGGGGCTAGAAAGAATGTGAAGTTATAATCACTGCAGTAAGTATTACAAAAAAGCATAATTGGCTCATGGAATAGGATTGTTCAGTAGGTAAAGGCACTTGCTGCCAAAGCCTGAGGACCTGAGTTTGATTCCTGTAGATCACATGATATAAGGAGACAATCAACTGCTTCAAGTTGTCCTTTGACATACACAGTCATGCCTTGTCATGCATGCACCTCTCCATCTAATTAAGGTAACAAAATGTTTAAGTGTCCGGTAATTACAGACCTAGTGTGTCTGTACCAGCTGATTTTATGTGTCAACTAGATACAAGAGTCATCAGAGAGGAAGGAGCCTCAGTTGAGGAAATGCCTTTCCCAGATCCAGCTGTAAGGCATTTTCTCATTTAGTGATCAATGGGGGAGTACCCAGCCCATTGTGGGTGTGGCCATCCTGGGCTTTAGATCTGGGTTCTATGAGAAGGTGGGTTGAGAAAACTGTGAGAAGCAAGCCAGTAAGCAGCTCACCTCCATGAGATCTGAATCAGCTTCTGCAACTGGGATCCCATTCTGTTTGAGTTCCTGTCCTGACTTCCTTCAGTGATGAACAGCCATGCTGAAATGTAAGCCAAATAAACCCTTTCCTGCCCAACTTGCTTTTTAGTCATGGTGTTTCACCACAGCAATAGAAACCCTGAGTATCACAGTGTCCATTCTGAAGAGCTCTGGTCACAACTATTACAAAAACTCTTTGTATAAGTATTAATTATTAATATTGTAAATATGTCAGTCTCAGGAAAATTCCTTATTAGAACTAAATTATTTAGTTGTTTTTTGGATTTCTCTCCTTTAGTTTATCCCATAGGAATCTGTCATATCTACTCTAATTAGAGCTTATGACCCAACAAGAACAAGTGCTTCTCGTTGAATGGTCTATATGAGACCAGCAAGATGTCTTTTTTTCTTGATCTGTACTGAAACCTTTAAATCAAATGTTTGTGAACAATCATCTGTCTTAACTCTTATGGTTTCTGACTCAATTGACCATAAGAATCTTGAGAAGCCTTTGTCCCACAATAGATTGAGACAGTATCTGTATCAGCTCTGCAAGTCTAGGGTTTTAGTTGGCCAACTGACAGGTGTAGTTGCTCTGTGATGTTCTGAAATGCCATCTTATCACCAAGGGAATACTTTAGTTTGGATACAGTGCAGTGAACCAGGTTAAGATGAGAGGGAAAAGACAATTGAGCTCACCCACCTCTAACATCATGGAAGTTGCTTTGCTGTTCCATTTTAGGGGGGGCATATCATTTTATTTTCAAGAGAAACACAAGAATTGGGCCTGGTGGTTTTGTCATAGGATTAACTCCTTTAACTCCCACCTATCTTGCTTTCCTATTGGCCAACGGTGCTTTATTCATTAAACCAGTATGAGAAACGTATATACATAATGGCATCTCCCATCACTCCTTCTTGATAAATATCCATGCACCAGAAGAGCAGAATGAACTCTCCTGACTCTTCTAACCCACCTCTACTATCAGGCCTCATGATAGTCAGAATATGGCTACACAGTTCAATTTCAGACAATGTGACCAGGGTGGATACTGGATGAGAAGTAACTATTACTCTAGATGCTGTCTGCTGGGAGAATGCTGACACACTTTCTCATTTCAAAGATAGCCCAACGCAGGTTCTTGTTTGGGTTTTATTTGTTTGGTGTTACATATCAGATGTGTGATTTATTTCGGTTTCAGCTCTGAAAGTTCCACAGAGAATGCAGACATTTTCTGCCTGGTGGCATGGAAAGGGTTTTAAATCCAGATAACTCTGGGAATATTTAAAAGCATGTTTCTTTGGCGAGCTGAGCTGAGTGTTCAAAACAGCCTGGCAACTGCTTGGCTGGCAAGGATTTGTGCTGCTTGGATGGGCAGGGGCTGCTTTAACCACTGCACCCAGCAGCTGCCAGTTAATTTGTCTTTTGGAATGATATTCCATGTGGTTATTGAAAGTTTGGGTGCATACAAAGAAGCCAAGTAAAGAGAGGAATTAGTCTAAGTTTTGGATATGAAGTCTCACAGCTTAGATTTAAAAGCCAGGATGCTTTGCAAATCAAGAGAGACCTGCTGGAGGATAAGCAATATGCCACTAGGTCATGTTCCCTCTTGAATGTATCTCTTTGCTTTTCTTTCTTTTTTATTATTTTTTCTTATTTTACATATCGATCCCAGTTCCCTCTCCCTCCCTCCCATGCCCCTCCCCCACTCCACAGGGAGGGTGGTGCCTTCCAGGAAGGATCAATAAAATCTGTCAAGTCATTTGGAGTAGGGACTAGGCCCTCCCTCCTGCCTCTAGGTTAAGGGAGTATCCCTCCATGTGTCTCTTTGCTTTTCATTCCTCGGTACAGGCCTACATTATACCCCCCAGTTTTCCTTGGCTTTTTCTTAGTGCCCAGCATCTCCCTATGCTAGTGTAGTATATCCTGTCTTACCTGATAAATGGAAGACTGCTTCCCTGTCACTGCACCAAGACTCACATCTCTAATGCCATCCCCTACATCTTGAGAGGCTCTTGACAAGGTCTTCCCACTTTGTTTCATCTGCCTTTCCCATGTGCTCACTACTGTTAGCTCTGAGTGTTTCTGCTCTCAGGGTCCCCAGAGTTAAATTGTTTGCTGACTGACTTCCAAAACCTACATTCTCCAAATGTGGTTTTTATTTTATTAAGGAAGCACTTTCCATACTTACACAAGGTTTCTTTTGAAATGGCTAAGATTTTCAAGGAACTAGAATCAGCTTATTAGCTAGGAACTTAACCTTTTCTTAAGGTACTCTGCTGGCATTTTCATATATTTTTTTTATTCCTCTCAACAACCAGTTGAGGTGGCCCTTATTGTTTTGTTTTATAGATGGGGAAACTGAGGCTCAGACAGATTAGTTAGCATAGCTGGATTCAGCTGGTGGAGAGCCCAAAACCACACTCTTTTCTTTCCCCTAAGTCAGTGTCCTTTCCAAGGTTTGCAGTATCCTGCAATCCTTTTTTTTTTTTTATTACTATAGCTGTTTTCCTGACTGTATGTTATTATTATTTTTATTTTGTGCCAGTTAAAACACATGGAGGCTACTTTATTCATTGAAGTTTTAACACCTGCACTTAAAGGGTTAGGAAAACCCTTTAAGTTATTAAGTGGCTTGGCAAAATGCACACGTTATTTGCTTCCATACTACATGCAGTTATTTCAAGGAAAATTACAGTGTCTTTGATGAACCCCACTAACCAGTGTGCATGAGAGCAAAGTATCTGGCATGCACAAGCGTTCAGCCTGGGAGTCAAGTGATTCAACAAGGAAAACCAGGTCAGCCAGCTCCTGAGCAGTAATCTGGCATCCGCTGCGATTGTAGAGCAGCACCAGAGATTTGCATGGATTGACTCATCCAATTGTGGTTCAAATCTGTAGTAGAGATAGATAAGCAGGCTATTTACTATTTACTAACAGTACAGCTAAACAACTTATTTTACTTCCATGTTGTATTAGGTACCATGAGTAATTTAGACTTTATGGAGGATGTATACACATTGTATATAATGTCACACAACATTATATAAGAAATTCCGATTTCTTGGGGTTAAGGCATCTGTAAAGGGCCTGAAAGTAGTCTCTCATGGATCCTGAGGGATCTGCATTACATCTTGTGTCACAGAAAACTGCAGTGTATTGGTTATCCAAATGTTTTCCAGATTCTTCTGTCTGCCCCACAGAGTTTGTCTGTCTTAAGTCTATATTAATGGGTTTAGTGGTTATTGCTGACAATGAAATAATAACTTAATGTCATTGACACATGGGAAATGGGTCCCTGCAGTGACTGCCCTATGTCTTTTTTGCTGCCTCTCCTTGTCCCAGTTGTGGAAGCTCTCTCTGGGTGAGAGCTGGCTTGAGGCTATTTTCTCTTATATCTGGCATGTATTAGTTGTGAATCAATAAATGAATTGGGGAGTTAGTATTTTAATGGTGTTCTTCTTTTCCAGGTACAACTCCTAGACAGAAATTGAAAACCCACTTCTCTCGGTGTCCCAAGCAATACAAGCATTACTGCATCCATGGGAGATGCCGCTTCGTGGCGGACGAGCAAACCCCCTCCTGCATGTAAGTAAGGGCCCTGTGCCCATGAGCAAAGGGGTGCAGCATGCTCTCAGCCTGAGGCTTGACAGCACTGGAAAGTCTGAGCTAAACCTACCATCTGTCCGGATGCAGTTCTGTCAGGTCCTGCCTTCAGCCACTTTTCTTTAGGGCCATGCTCAGCATCTACTTGTGGAGAAACTGATGCAGATTTTCCTCCTGAAATAAGAGTGTGAGAATCCAGACCCAATTCTGCACTGTTGGTGTCCTCAGCTCCCTTGTGCAAGCAAAGCCGAGTCTCTGTGTTAGGATCTCGTCAGTCCCAATCATCTCCTGGGTGGTTCAAATGAAAACAGATTCTTTGGCACATGTGAGGCAGTTCTGAAGTTGATGCAAATGCAAAGGAATTCCTGCCAGACTAGATGCTGTCCATTTGCAGGTGTCAGCAATGTGTGAGAGACTGGAGTATTCATAAATAGAGATGATCAAGGCCCACTTAGCTCACTGGGGAGTTGGGAGAGGAGCAGACTTTGAACCAAAAGTGCAAATTTCAGCAGTTTTGTGCATTGTTAATATTCATTTTCTTCTAAAGGGATGCCCCTTTAAAGAGAATTATAGGATTTTGCTTCATGGAGGGATGGAGTGAATCCTTAAGCATAATTCTGACCTTAAGTTTACAGACTATGTATGTTCTTTATATATATATAAATATATATATTATATTTTTTCTTCTAAGTATCTTTTAAGCATATTTTACTTGACCATTAAGGGTTGTAGACTTCCTCAAAATTTAACTCAGTTCAATTTAAAAAGGAATATACACAGATAATACTTAGAGGTGGGATAAGAATTGGTAGTATAAAAAATAAGGTGTGTGTGTGTGTGTGTGTGTGTGTACGCATAAACAGATCTGAATTTTTTAATTTTTATTTATGTTTTTACTGGCTTGGAGACATATATTGGATTTTAAGATGGTGAATGCCCTTTGATCTAGTGCATTTTTTCCCATGTCTGCAAGTTTACTATTCTTTAACTATACTGTCTTCCGAGATGAAAACTAGATTGTGTAATCTCCCTGCCTAAAATCAATTCACAGCTATCCCATTCACCATGAGGTTGATACCCATTTCCTCAATCTACAAAACTCCTCAGATTCTGGCTCAACTTCCTTGTTCTAGTTTTCAGTGTGTTTGCAAATGTCCCACTCAAGCCTGTGTTCCTTCTCAGGGGTTGGTAGACAAATCCCTCTCTTAGCCTAGAGAGCTAATTCCTGCTGATTCCTGCTGATAATGTAAGACAGCTCAAGCATTTGCTCCCCCTTCCTCTTACTTTCCACGGTGGGAGACACTGAGCAAAAATGGTCATCAGCTGATGTGTAATTGGTTTGTTGAGGGGGAAATGACAAGAGACATGCTCTAACCATGCTGAAATTTGACTTCTCGCATGACTTCATTGGGTTACAACCTACAGGAAGTTCTTCTTGCTGAGACACTCACTCAGCTAAAGATACAGGGCCCAGAGTTCATATTTAGAAAAATTTCCTAAAGAGCAGTGTGTAATGGCTGGCCATTTATGGGTAAAACAGTCCTTTCAAAAAGTCATACGTAGTAGACTTGTTAAAGAAATAGTTAAGCTAATTAGAAGAAAATGAACATGTTTGTAAGATTCAATTATATTCTTTACAAACTCTTAAAAACATTCCCTGTCATGTTCAATTAAAGATGATCTTCTTCAATCCTAATTTTAAGAGTGTTTTGATACTTTAATGCATTTCTAAGTTCTCAGCCTGCAGTATTTTAAAATTTTAATATTTATGTGTGTGTGTGTGTGTGTGTGCGTATGCACATGCGTGAATACCTAAGTGCTTATTCATGCACCACATGTACGTAGGAGCTTGTGGCAGTAAGAAAGAGGGTATTGTCTTATATGGAGGGGGAAACACAAATGGCTGCGAGCTTCTCTGTGGGTGATGGGAATTGAACCTGGGTCCTCTGGAAGAGTAACAAGTGTTCATAACCACTGAGCCATGGCTCCAGCTCTTTTGTCTGTGTTTTGACCATAGAATGAAGACAAGCAATGTTCTTGAATGAAGCAATTTATCCCAAGAGCTTCTAGATGCATCCATAGTGTGCTTCTCCTTTCTCTACGTAACAGTTCGCTTTTCCATTGAGACTTTCTGAGTTTGTTTCTGTTGGTGTTTGAAGCATTCTGTCAGCTACAATGTTGACACTTGAGATCTCCTTACTGGAGAGATAACTGGATTTGTGGGAATTAATGCATTAGCTCTTGTTGAATATCAGCTATGGAACAGCCTGGCAGTGAATTCTGAGGTTTAGAAATAAATAATGTCATACAGAAATCTTTCCAAGGTGCAGAATTTGATGGTTCTGAGATTTGAATAACTGCATGGACCAGCATTTTTGGATGCTTGGATGTATCTGTGAAGAATAAAGGGAAATATTAATGCCAAGATGCTAGTGCTGCAAGAAATAAGTTTGATTAAAATTTGCTCAATTTTTTATGTATCTTTTAAGGTTCTATAACAACTCAGAATTCTATGCAGAGTCCATACATCATGGAGCTATTAGCTCAGGATGCCTTGCAAGCATAATTCCCAGTTTGGTCAAAAGTTTCCCTAAGTATAACCACAGACTCAGGGAATCTGCCTAGTTGAAGTTTGTCTTAAGATTACATTGATAGAGGTGTGAAAGACTAGGGGAAGCCATGGTCCCATTGAGATTTCTGACTGATTCTGGTTGGATTCCCTTTAAAAGTGCATGACATCAAAGGCCACTGTTTAGAGGGAAGAGGAAGCGATAGTGAACATAGCTGTAAATATAGCCTTTCTCACTCAGCTACTAGCAGGCTGGGATGGGAGTTGTGATAATAGCTGTGCGGTTTGGATGCAAGAGCAATAGAAGAGATTGCTTCCTAACCTGTGGTTTCCCTGGTCATAGAATTAGAACTGTGGTGTGTGTGTGTGTGTGTGTGTGTGTGTTTGTTGGGATATTCTGTAGAAATCATCTTTATAGAGCTTTCTAATTTTGGACATGGAGTCATGGAATTTCACACACATTACCTGTTTGACTATATGAACTATGTAATTTGTTTGTTTGTTTTATTGAGACAGGGTTTCTCTGTGTAGCTCTGGCTGGAACTTGCTCTGTAAACCAGGCTGCCTTTGAACTCATAGAGATCTGCCTGCTTTTGCCTGGGAATAAAATGATTAAAGGCTGTTTGACAATATGAAATCATGTTACTGTAAGTTAGTTCTTGGATGCAGTTTAATGCTTGTCTTACCTTAACTATAAATGAGACTTTATATAGCTTTTCTGTCCTTGTCATGAGGTTTTTATTAATTGGGAATGCTGTGGAGGGAATTTTAGCATTCCCTTATGCACAAACTGAAAGAATAAAACAGCAAAACATTTTAATAGGTTGCCACGATGATCTGTTCCTATCAGACAAGTTAAGAAAGTTCTGGTGGTGGTAGGTTTCAGAGGGGCAAGGTGCAGCTGCTCTTAAACACAGTGGAGGAGGGCTTGCCTTCTTTCACTTTTGTTAAGCAATTAAAACAGTGCTAACTTCATCCAAAAAGAAGCAGAGACTCATAAAAGTGTCTTCTTTGTACAGCTGTGAGAAAGGCTACTTTGGGGCACGATGTGAGCGCGTAGACTTGTTTTACCTCCAGCAAGACAGAGGGCAGATACTGGTCATCTGCTTGATTGTGGTCATGGTGGTATTCATCATTTTGGTCATCGGTGTCTGCACCTGCTGTCAGTAAGTCTATCTGCACTGAATTTTATGTAAACCCAGAAATCATATCTCACTTTCCTTCTCCTCCCTTTTCTTCTCTCTCTCTCTCTCTCTACTATTTCTTCCCCTTTGTTTTAAAGAAAACAACTTTCTGAGACACATGTTCATTGATGTAAGATTTATATTAGCAGTGAAACACATTGCAGATAATTTTTTATCAATTTACTGAGACTTATTGTAAGTTTAAATAAAATTTATAGATATCTTTGGGTTTAAAAATTCTAGTCATTTAGCCCTGAGGGCAGTGTGCTTTGTTTGTTAGTAAGTTAAATAAAAATTTCATTTTCTAAACCTGCCTAATTACATAGTGACACTTAAGAACAGAAACAGCTGAAATATTTTTGCTTGACCATGAAAATAATTAATTTTAATTGCACAGGCAAGTCCTCTGTTTTCATTATCGTGAGTTTCTATTATGCATTTGGAATCAGAGCTAAATTTCCTTTTGTTTGAAAGAAAGTGGGGTGGGATAACTATTAACCCAAGGCAGCTTCTCTGGAAACCTGTATTAAGTTCAATATTTTCTTGCTTCTATAAGTGTCCCTCCCTAAAACATAGCATCCAGTTCTGTGCTATAGACTATGCCAAAAAGTGATGCCTCACAAGTCCTTTAGAGTGTTCTTGGGATAAAACAAAGGAGGAAACAAAAACAAAAAACACAAACCCAAAACCAAAACAATACACAAACAAATTTTGATTAGCTCCACTGTTGTTTATTTTTGAGACATTGAACAAATTTCTGTTTCTAATTTTGATAATTTTTATATATTTTTTAAATTTATTTTTATTTTACATGTTGATCCCAGTTCCCTCTCCCTCTCTCCCTCCCTCCTTCCCTCCCTCTTACCCTCTCTGCTCCCTCACATGCACCCTGACCATCCTCCCCTCCCATCCCCCCACCCCAGTTCCACATGTAGGGGAATGTCATCCAGGTGGGGTCATGTAGCTCTCTGTCAAGTCATTTGAAGTAGGGACTAGGGCTTCTCTCCTCTCTCTAGGTTAAGACAGTTATCCCTTCATGGGGGATGTGTCCGCAAGGTCCTTTTGTGCACCAGGAATACATCCTGGTTCCACTGTCTGAGGTCCCTTAGGCTGCTCAGTCCTTCTGGCCTGAGTCAGTCCCATGCTGGATTCCCAGCTATCAGTCTGGGGGCCCGTTAGCTCCTCCTTGTTCAGATCAGCCGTCTCTATGTGTTTCTACAACCTGGTCTTCTCCTCTCCCTCTGCATCTGGATTCTAGTTCGACTCAGTGTTTAGGTATGGGTGTTTGCTTCTGTTTCCAACATGTACTAGATGAGGGCTCCATGATGGTGGATAAGTTAGTTGTTGATCTCACTGTCCAGGAAGGGCATTTATGGTAGCCTTTCCACGGTTGCTCAAATAGTTAGTTGGTGGCAGTCTTGTATGTCTCTAGACCTTTCTTTAGGTTCAGTTTTCTCTTCAAACTATGTTCTCTCTCTCTCTCTCTCTCTCTCTCTCTCTCTCTCTCTCTCTCTCTCTCTCTGTCTCTCTTTCTCCTGTCTTCTATTCCTATCCTGACTCAATCTTCCTAGTCGCACGTGCTTTCCTCTCCTCCCCTTCTCTTTCTCCTATTTCTCTCTCCATTCACTGCCCTCCCCCACTTCCCATGTGCTCTGGGGGACTTGTCCCTTCCCCCTTCTGTGAGGGACTTTATATGAAGAAACCATCCTGAATGAGGTAACTCAGTCACAAGAGGAACATGGTATGTACTCGCTCATATATGCATTTTAGACCTAGAGCAAAGAATGACCAGCCTATAATTTATACCACCAGAGGAACTAGGATACAAGGTGTATTTTTATATTTTATTGAGAAACATTCATTTTACATATCAATCCCCTGTTTCCTCTCCCTCCCATTCTCCCATATCCCCTCCTAAACCCCCCAACCCACCCTCCACCCTCTCCCCAAGGATAGTGAGGCCTTTCATGGGGGATCATCAAAGTCTGTCATATCATTTGGGGAAGAGAACAAATTTCTTAATACAAGTATTGAGCTAGATGACTAGATGATTTACAGGAATCTCAGCATCTCAGCTATTAACAGGCTTGTTTTGTTTTGAGGTTTTTTTTTTTTTTTTTTTTTTTTTTTTTTTGCTTTATGGTAGAAAGGAATCTTTTTAATGCCACATTTAGGACACAGGATGAGTTGGGCACATCTGGGAAGTGACCTTTTTATATTTTTATATTAATTTTGAGCCACATACATGTTCAGGAGACCAGATTACAGCCCAGAACATTAAATCAATTCCTTCATTAATATACCTAGAAATTTAGTAATATTGCTGGGGGCTGCTGTCACTCCCAGTGTTTTATGCCTTTTTCCAGTCTTCATTGCTTCTTCTTCTACAAACCAAGTGGTGCTGATTGTACAACCTTGTGAATTAACTTTGCATGGGAATTTGTCTTCGGCCCACTAATCTCTCTCACAATCAGGTAGGAGATTCTTCGTATGTACGTAAGCTTGTATCACCCCCACTGTGGCCTGTGGTAGATAGCACTTGAACTTACAAAAAGAATTGTGTCAAAAGCAAAGGCAGTGGGTTTAGAATAAAAAGGAACTTACAGATCTTGAATAAAACAGAGAGAAGGGCTCTCCTACTGAATATTTGTATGTTGACATGGACTTACATATTCGGATTCATTTCTAATATGTTGTTTTTAAAGTCCTCTTCGGAGACATCGTAAAAAAAGGAAGGAAGAGAACAGGGAAACTCTGGGTAAAGACAAAACTCCCATAAGTGAAGATATTCAAGAGACCAATATTGCCTAATGGTGAGTATGCTGAGCAATGGATGGGAGGCCTATAAGTGGTTCATTGAGGCTTAATTATGTCTAATAGTGATTTAACAGGATTGCGTTATGTATACAAACATCCAAAGACAAATTTATTTTCTTTATGGAACTGAAAAGTTTTGTCATAACTGTATCATTGCATAATAACAGAGGAAAGTAGCAAATAACTAGTTTTTGTTATATCATGCTAAAATAATTAATTCTCATTTTATGATCAAAAGACAATTCTTTCACTTATCTTGAGTGTATTCTCACAGAAATAGGCATTCTAGTGCTACATAGTTGCCATGGTTGTTTTGTGTGTTCTTTTCCATATTTCTGAGTAAAAGAAGACACAGTTTAATTTAGATGTTACAATAGCAATAGCAATGTGAAGAACATAATGATGATGGTGATGGAAAATTTAATATACATGAAGCATAGTTCTTAACTCTTGAAGTGTTTGTGGGTCAGGTCCCACCAGTAGTCACAGACCCTCTCAGCTTATTCAAGCAGATATTCTGATGAGTGAGATAACTGCCAGGTCACTCTCCCCAGAGCCCAAGAGAACCACCCTGATCCTTGACTCTGACAACAGCTAGAAGCCATTGAATGCCCTATAAAGCTGAAGTAGTGTGTTGATTCACAGTGGCTTCATAGTTAGTGGCACCTGAGACTCATAAGGAAATAGAATTTCTCTCTTTCTGCTAACTGTACACAGGGTAGTCTAAATTCCTGGTTAGTTCTTCTAGATCAGAGGGGAGGCTGGGAGCAATCAGACTTGGTGTTTCTTTGTTCATCCTCATCATGAGAAAGCTATTACTTTCCATAACTCTCTCTGTGATGATGACATCCTTTGTACAAACATCTCAGTAGCCAATAGTGAGCAATAATACTTGCTGAGAAATTACAATGCTCTTCTTATTTACTACAAAGATAACATTTGTTACTCCAAACACAAATGCTGAGTCTGGATTAGCTATTATTGTTGTACTTATTGTATAATACTTTATTTAAAGTTGCTCTTCTTTTTTTCTTCATTCTCATAGGTTGTACAGTTACAGCAAGCCAGTGGCAAACTACAAAACACCTTACTCATTGCAAATGGACAGGACATGTCTCAGGAAAACAGCTAGCAGAAATGAATGTTTAAATTCTGTATTTCCTTTCTTATTTTTATTTGTAACTTTGTGTTGTTTGTTACTGCTTTTAGTAATATTTTTTATAGTGTAATAATTGAGAAAAAGGACCTGGCTAGGTAGCAATGATAAGAAGTGGCATTTCAAAATAAACTTCATTGCCAGGATTATTAGACAATTGAAAGAAAAGTGGGAAAGATTTTAAGGACTGAATCAATAACAAGGCATATCAGCTTTGTATACTGGTTGTATGTTGAGTTTGAAATAGATTATTTCCTTTCATCCTTCCAACAGTCTATAAGATAGCATATTTTTGTCCTCCTTCCCATATATATGCAAAAGTTAACTAATATCATTTAGATTTAAAGATTGAGGGATTGACAGAGTCAGAATGGAGATCGACTCAGATTCATAGCTGGTGTTCATATCATTGTTGTTAATTGGGTCCCTGTACCATAAATTAATAAGTAATTGTGTTTTGCTATGATTCTGAGATGGTAGGGCAATTTTCCCACATTGGCAGACAGTACAGAGTCATGGCCAGTCCTGATGTCATCATCACAATTTCTGCAAATTTGGCTTTTATTATTATTATTAATTACTATTGTTATTATTCTGCTTTTCTATAAAGTCTCAGTGACATGAGTAAATTCTTATATTTCCAAACCAAATAGATTTGTCCCCAGTTATAGTAATAAATAGAGGTGGGGAAGTAAATGACTGGTGTTCTTTAAATCCTCAGTAGGTATTTATTCTCAGTACAGTATAAATAGCACTGTAAAAGACTGTTAATATGGTATAGCTGACCATATGTGGTCATATGACACCATAGCCAAGACATCCTGATCATAGCATATATTATTTGAACTATTTTGCCACTTGTTCCTTTGACTGTGTGCTCCTACTTAGTAGAAAATATATTAAGCAAAAAAAAGAAAGAAATTTATATTTAGTCAGTATTTGATAAAACATGGAATTTTCCACATTGATTAGGTAGGTCACTTACAAAAGCCAATGGAAAGATGTCCTCGAACTGTGGTGCTTCCTGCCTGCCTCAATCCTTGCAAATTTTACTTCTCAATAGAGATTCCACATATTTAAACAAAAGCCTGTGTGGGGAAGTAGGGTAGGGTTTCACTATTGAAGAAATAGCTCACCTCCCAATAATTGCTAAGTGGAAGGGCTGACATGTCTCAAAACAGATTTTCTTTCTTGGAACTTTAATGGTCATTCTTGAAACAAGACTACCCATACCTGACTCAGATTCTTGCTTTATTTTCTAACATCTCCATGGGCTTGTGTATACCTTTTCTCTTCAGTCATCTTTGATGCTGAACAGGCTTGAAATGAATGATAACTAGAACATTTAAAAATACCACCAACTCTGTCAAGTGTTTCTGCTTTCCTGGTCCCTAGTTGGGTGACCAGTACAATCTCTTTAAAGAACTCAGTGCTGAAAAAACTCACTTTTATCTGAAACTTTTAATGGTGTCTCTTGACATTCTGATATCTAGAAATAATTTCAAGAATTGTTATTTCAGAGTGTATTTTGTAATTTTTTGCATATATTATGTTGTTGTTTATATAGACTGTTGAGGTTATAATGGAATAAAATAAATTTATTTTTAAACAAAGCAGCCATATTTTTCCTTGATAATTTTATACTGGTACCATGAATTAATGTAGAAATAAATGCAAACATATTTGCTTTTTAAAGTTTATCTTTATAGAAACCATTCATTGAAGCATTAGAAATATTCTACTTGACTCATGTATTTTCTTTTTATAAATTGAAGCATTTGGAAGTGTGGGGATATCTCTGTGACTGTCTGCCTGGATCTCTGACAATTTCTTTGAACTCTACCTCCAGCTGTATTTGGTTGACCACTTGGAATAATTCCTGGGGAGTTGGGAACTTGAAATCAATTTTATTTGGTTTGAGAAGCATAAATATGTCCGTTTAAACATTGTTGTCATCTTGTTTTGCCTCATGTGGACTACAAAAGTAAGTGAAGCTTTTGGAAGGAGGCAGCGAGGCAAGGAGGGAGGGAGGAAGGGGGAGAGAGAGAGAGAGAGAGAGAGAGAGAGAGAGAGAGAGAGAGAGAGAGAGAGAGAGAGAGAGAGAGATTCTTCTAGTGAGTGCTGAGTGAGCAGCTTTGTAGCCCTGGCCACATTCACTGTCACAGCTTAGGTTCATTCCATTCCTCCCTATGAGTTCCATGAGACACATTAGTATCTTCATAATAAATTCCTCACTTGACTTACTATAGTTGAGTTTGAGTGTCTTTAACCTGGAATTAAGGGCCTAGAGCTTTGCACATGCTAGTCAAGTGCTCTGTCACTGAGATATATTTAGATAAGAAGACACAACTGGACAATGTGGAGAGTGAGAGACTTCGGTACATTCAGTCCTAAGGAGGCTGTCTTCATAAAGCCCCTCCCCTCATGTCTCAGGGATCTATGCAGAAGAGGGGTCAGAAAGATTGTAAGAGCCAGAGGTGGTGGATGACTCCAATCTTCAAGACACAAGACTGATGAACTATCAGAGACTGTGGCAGCATACTTAGGATCTTTAGAAGTTTAAGCCAGATGGAGGTCCCAGCACTGTGGAGGAGGAGATGAATACAGGTACCCACTCCTAACTGAGAAGCCTTTTGCAATTGATAACCCACTGGCAGAGAAAATGTCAGTTTTCTCCAAGGGAGTGTTACTGACTATATCAACCACACTTCAGGACAGGACCCATGCCCAGGAATAGTTGACCATTATAAAAAGAACTCCGTGTTTTTATGGGCTTTATGTTAACTTTTTTGGCATCTTTTGTCTTATTGGTTTTCTTTGTTTGTTTGCTTGTTTTTGTTTGTCTTTGAGAGGGAGAGAGACAGAACATGAAGTTGATTGGGTGGGGAGGTGGGAAAGAATTGGGAAGAGTTAGGGGAAGGGAACAAGATAATCAAAAACATTCTATGGAAAATGTAAAAATATAAAATAAATATGACAAAGAGAACAAGTTTGAGCAACATGAAGGAAATTAAAGACATATTTAGTCTCCATGACTTTGAGTTCAGGACATTTTCTTTAAGATACAGTTAGAGTAATCTGCACATAACTGTTATGATGGCCTGATCATTGCTTCATCCATGTAAAAGTATTTTTCAGTTTTTAAAGTAGCCAGTAAGTGCCAAGTACTGCCACTGCTATATTTATATCAGTTACATTAAACAGTTGAAATACTCAAAAAAGAAAAAAAATACCTTTGACCTCATGGCCTTTCTTCTAGTGATTTGGGGTCTTTCACAATGTAGAATTTAAGTGAGATTTATCCAAAATTCTACATTAGGAGCCATTATTATCAGATTTTAAAACTGATGTTTTTTTAGTTATTTCCAGGTGTTTTAATGAGTGAGTGAGTGAGGGAGAGAGAGAGAGGAAGAGAGAGAGAGAGAGACTATCTTGCAAGGTGAACATTCACAGACGAAGCCAGTATGTAGGACAATTGGGGGATTTCCCTGACTCTTGTAACTAACATATTTTGTAATGACTGCCAAGAGCACCCATGCATAACTACAATTCCTTAGTCTAAAACTAGCTTTTTAATACTTCTGTTTGTATGCTTGAGTGATACTGCTGCTACACTTGGGCACCTGCTGTTCTTCATCATTATTGCATTATGCATCAATGCAATTCTGTTTTCCTCAAAGGAACCAGTTCCCATGTGACCCCTTTTGGCAGCCAAGCATTAACACCAGAACATAAGGAGCAATTAGTCCACTCTTGCCTCTTTGCTAATGTTGCTGGACCCAGAAATGTGTGTCTTATCATAATATCTAATTGGCAAGTCTGCAAGCAAGTCATTCTTCCCCAGGCCTCACCAGTTACTGACATTTATGGAGTCTGGAATTCTTTATCAGGAAACTATAAAATTATATAACTCTAAGAACTGCATTATTATGTCAAGAGGTAATTATCATTGTTGCTGTACATTTCAAAAATGTTGGTCTTGAAGGTACAGTTGGTCAACAGTTATAGTCAGTACTTATCTTCTAAAAGTTGACCAACTATGTTTTCAAAAGATTTTTCCCTCCCTGTTTTGTTGTTTTCAATAAAGCTTTAATTGCAAAATAAGTAAAAGTATGACAGAAATATGCCAAAAGGCTCCTCCCTTTGTTTTTGGTTTTCAGTTTATTTGACAAGGGAAAATATTTCACGAGCACAGAAATCCTTAGCATTTCTTGTCATGGCAAATATGATCACTTTTATTATAAAATGGGTGAAGAATAATAAAATGTTTTGAAATTGTGTGACTCAAGCTAGAATTGAAGATACCAAAAGTTAAGATGCAGATGATAATGATGGACAAGCAGTGTGGTCTTTGGCATGGTCCTCAAGCTCACAAGCTTCAGTTTTTTTTTTTTCTCCTAGGAAATGTTACAGTTATACAGATAACAGTGGGTGGCCAGCCCAGTCAATTAAATTACTTTTAAGCCCATCTTTGGTGTTCACCAAAGGTATCTAACCTACATATATCCCAGCATGTTTAAAAATCACTTATCTTTATGTTTATTTTCATTGGCATTAAAACTGTTTCTTACTATTTTCCTCATGTTCTAAAGAAAGAAGGAGAGACAAACAGAACCCAAACAAATATAATTCAAGTATAAATTCTCCTTGTTTTAAGAGTGAAACAAATAAAAACCAACCAAGCAGATTAAAAACACTCTGTAATGACATTTTAGAATTTTTGCTTCCAGTTCATTGAGTAGACAAAATGTTCCCAGGTTGTCAAAAATATAAAGTATGAATACGTTTATTTTAATTAGTTTGTACACTGCAGTATTTCAAAAGTAGATCTAGAGATCAAGTTCAAGATCTTCCCTTACCTTTTGCTAAAAGCCAGAACAATTACATCTAAAAAAAAAAAAAAAAATCCAGTTCAGAAAGGAGGACCCCATATTCAGAACTGGCCTGAACTGATTCTATATGGCCTGATCTCAAGT